ATGCATGAATTCATGCACCAGGCCTCTAGTTTCACTATATATACTAGTACATATGTCAAATTATTATGTTGTACACTGAAACTAACAATGTTATATGTCAATTATATCTAAAAAAGATCAAATGTGAAAAACAAATTCTTAAGACTTATAGAAGAAAATATAGGAGACTATTGAGTTTGAGTAGAATTTCTTAATTTTGTTTAAAAATAATCAACTAAAAATGACAACATTGATAAATTTGATACCATAAAATTTAAAACATTTATGCTGCAAAATGTACTATAAACAGAGCAAAAGGATAAACTACAAGTAGGGAAAAGATACTAGTAGGAAACATAACAATGATTCTGTATCTAAAATTTATAAAAGTCAGTAATTCACTCCTGGGTATATACTAGAAAGGGTCTCAAATACTGGTACAATGTGAAATATAGAAAAATGTTCCCTGAACTATTTTCAATTCTTGGTTATTATAAACAATTAAATATCCATTCATTAAAAGTAGGGATAAGTGCATTGTAGTTTATTAAACACTGTAGTTTATTAAAATAAATGAATCAGATTTATATATCAATATAGATAATATAACAAATTTAATATCAAATGAAAAAAATAAGTTTTGGGAAGACATAAGCTAAAATGGTAAATATTTTTTAATGTGCAAAATACTGTTAAATATATTTTGAATATCTTTACTTATATTGTGAAAATCCAACATTCATCTACTTAAAGGGTGAAAATCTAAAGACATACATGAAGGTTCTCCAGGTAGCTAGGTTGGTTAGAGTGTCATTCTGATATGCCAAGGTTGTGGGTTCTATCCCAGATCAGGGCACATAAAAAAAGCAACCAACGAATGCATAAATAAGTGGGATAACAAATCAATGTTTCCCTCTTTCCCTTCCTTCCTCCCTCCTCTCTCTCTAAAATCAATAACTAAAAATTAAAATAAACACATAATGCAAATGATGCAGTCCAAACCCAGGATATTAGTTACCTGTAAGTGAGAAGTTGAACAGGATCAAGGAGGGATACTCAAGATTATCTTTAATCGTAATATTTTATTTCATAAAAGTCTAACAAAAAGCAAAAAGATCAATAGTAAATAAGACAAATACTAAATATTACAAGTCTGGGTAGGTATTGAATATGTGTATTATTATCCTCTACTCTTTTACGTATGTTTAAAATGTTTGATAGTTGTTAATAAATTCAAATGACGAAATTCCTTTCCCATGCCCAGAATATCATGGTTCCCCTGCTCCCATCCTGAGGCTGCGTTTGTTGTACCAGCTGGTAGACTGTCATGCTGCAAAGGGGTAGCTTTTTGTATGGGCTATAGAAATAGCCACTGTGGTATCACACTGATTCTTGGGAAAAATGACTTCTGAGTTCCAAGAGATGTACTTGGTGCCGTGACACATTGAGGATGTGTGTGCAGGAGCCCTCCCTTACTGCGGGGGATATGTTCCACGCTCCCTGGTGGATGCCTGAAACTATGGATAGTATACTGACCCTACGTGTACTATGTTTTTCCTATACACACGTGTCTATGATAAATTTTAATTTATAAATTAGGCATAGTAAGAGATTAACAAATTAGTAATAAAGTAGAACAATGAGAACAATATACTATGTGAATGTGCCATTATTAAGTAAAACCAGGGTGACTTGAACACAAGCTCGGAGATATCGCAACAGTGGATCAGATAACCCAGGTGGCTTCTAAGTGACGAACAGTGGGGAGTGTGTCCAGCCTGGATACTGGGGACAAAGGGAAGATTCACCTACCCCGTAGAACTGAGAGGAATGGCGGGAGATTTCATCAAGATCCTCAGAATGGCATGCACTTTAAAATGTATGAATCATTTATTTCTGGAAATTTTCACTTAACATTTTCTGACCGTGGCTGATCACGGGTAACTGAAACCATGGGAAGCAAAACCGGAGATGAGGGGGGACTGTTGTGCTGTTACACTTTTTTTCTCCCACATGTGGCACAAGTGCGGGTAAAGCAGTTGGAGAACTGAGTTGGCAGAACAGCATCCAGCACTTCAGGGATTGTGACCCATTCCGTGTTTTGGTCATAGTTTCAAGTTACTAGAGACACAGAGACTTTCTACCTCATCGTCAGAAGATAAAATATTGCTTGTTGTTGTTTTGTAACAAGTATAATCAATTTCAAAGAATTAAAAAAGAGCTCAGTTATGTTGTCTATTTACTTCGGTGGACCTTTCTCTATCCGTTTGGACTGGTGCTCATCAGAATAAGTCACTGAACCCCAAAAGACCCAAGCCCTGCTCCCCACTCTTCTACACAGCAGGATGCCCTGATCCTCTGGTCAGGTTGTTGAAAAGCAAGCACATCATTCCTGCTGATAAAGGTTCCCCTGTGAGCCAGAATGACCAGCACCATTTCCTTCCTTCGGCCAGGTGTCCGCAGACTGGATTGTTTATGAAATTATTATTTCCCCTTCCTGTCACTTACAATTCAGGGATGGTGGCTTGGTAGGAGGTGGCCTTTCTCGTAACTAGAAAACAGTCTTACGACAGGATAAAGCTTGAAATTGCTCTCTTTGTGAAATAAGCAGGTCCTTGCTTGCAAGGTTAACTCAGTTCCCACTGCCACCCTGGCAGCAGAATTCCCAGTGCAGTTTGGTGGCTGGATTGAACTTTTCCTTCGGGAATCATGTAGCCCTACAGAGGCAGCAATGCTAATTCACTCCCCCGTCGTTGGTTTGCTGATAGCTTTTCCGTGAAGCAGTTTGAAGAGTGGAGAGCCCGAGTCTGAGAAAGAGAAGTGTTTTCCCACCTGAAGTGTAATTTCACACCTTGTGTTTCTCAGTGGATAAGTGCATAAAACAACACATCAAACCAGGATAGGAAAAAATCAACATAGAAAGAACACCGCAGGTTGTAGTTTGTTTCCCATCCTACAATGCTCTCCTCTACGTAGATTACAGAGACCTGGGTTTACGCTTGTAAAAAGTTTGACTGGTTTTAGGTGGGAAAGTGAGCAGTAAACACAAATCAGCTTTCAGTCTGTACAGAATGTACAGAACAATAGAATTTGGAAAGCACCTTAGCATTTAGGATTTTTTTTTCAATAGAGCATACATAAGTTAGTGGTAAAAGTCGTAGTTAAGAAAAAAGTCAAGAAATTGATAAGTGATTTTCCTAAAAATATAATTGTTTTAGGAATGATGTTCTTCGTAATGATCCTTTCAAGAATTTTAGCAAAAGTAGTAGACTATATCAGTGATTTGGATATTTCCTTTCTATAAATGACTAAATATATGAGGCTAGTTACCATTTTACAGCATACTAGTGCAAGGATCATCAAACAAGCTGCATTTTGCAAGTTTGGAAAAACTTGAGACCAAAAGAACAAAGAAAAGTTGAGTATCCTGGCTAGTCATGAACATTCATTATAAAATACTTAATACTTATTGAATGTGTGCTACATGTTAGACCCCGGGGCAGGCATTGGTTACTATGATAAACAAGGCAATTCCTCCTTTTACCATTGGGGTACTGAGAGTCTTGCAGACAAGTAAACAAGCAATGAAATACTGGGTGATAAGTGCTGAGAGAAGCTAAAATAGGATTTTTTTTTCAATTACAGTTTACATTCAGTATTATTTTGTATTAGTTTCAGGTGGGTAGCACAGTGGTTAGACAATCAAATGCTTTGCAAGGTGTTCCCCACAATATTGCCAGCACCCACCTGGCAGCATGCATGGTTATGACGATGCTATTGACTATGTTTTCTATGCTGTGCTTGACGTCCCTTGCCTACTTTGTGACTACCAATCTGTGCTTCTCAGTCCCTTCACCTTTCACCTACTCCTCCAACCCTCCTCCCCTCTGGCAACCATCAGTCTGTTCTCTGTATCTATGTCTGTAAAACTTGATTTTGATGAGACCCACTGGAGGGTTATCTGAACTAGGCCTGGTGGGGAGGGAGAGTGGTCAGGAAATCTGGATAAAGTAACGTCCAAACCAAACTAGTGAATAGAAGTCATGTGAAGGTGGGTATCACTTGGGGTATCGGGACATGATAACTTGTGTAAAAGTGAAAGGGAAAGAGAGCAGGTGGGTTTGGAGGGATGAAGGTAGTTCAAAGTGGTTGGATTACAATTTGTAAAGGCAGCAGTGGTGTGCAATAAGACTAGAAGATAAACAGGGCCCAAGTATTTAGTCTATATAAAGAAATTCAATTTTATCCTGAGATGAGTGGGAAGTATTGACAAGTTTGTTTTTGCTTATTAGTGAAAGTGACATGACCAGATAGGCAAAAAATGCAGTCCTGATTACTGATTTGGATCATTGAGGGGATGATGTTATGAGAGATGGGGAACAGTGGAACAGCGAGTGTTTGAGTTGGGAACCTAATGAGTGTGAGATGTGTGTGGGATGTCCATGAAGAGAAATGTAGTATTCTGTTGGATCCTGAGCTCTGGAGAGACATCTAGGCTAGAGAGATGGATTTAGTAGTTGTCATTGAAGCCAGAGTTGGTAGTTGTCATTGAGTAGATGAGATGGTCCAAAGAATACGTACACGTGAGAAAAGAAGGGACTCTTTAACTCAGGCACAAAACAGTATTTTGACAATGGAAAGGAAAACATGTATAGAGAAAAATCTACACATTTATCTTGTTACATAAGTAAAATGGGAATGAAAAACTGCATGTCCATAAACACGATTGCATCTATGGCTGTGTGTGTATATAGTACACCTCTGCATGTGTAGGGCTCCTTATGAACATCGGCAAGGTGCCCGACAGTGGGTTGCATGAAACATGATGCTTTCCAGGTAATAATCCCTTTCCTTAATCGCTCATGTGAAATATGTTAGTCCCACGGCAAGTACCAGGCCTAAGAATGCTGATCATTATGTGAAAAAGAAAAACTTGCTGCCCATGTAAATATTACAACTAGTCCAGCAAAACTGAAAGCACTGATGTTTTTTCATTTCCGTTGTGTGTGTTTTTTTCTTAGATACATATGGAAAGCTCTTTCTCCTCAATTCCGTGGGTCAAGAGATGTTCCGCTGCAAGACGTCCATTCGACGTGGTCAGCCCAATCCTGTCTATAAGGAGACCTTTGTTTTCCAGGTGGCCCTCTTTCAGCTCTCTGATGTCACCTTGATGATCTCCATTTATAACAGGCGCACTATGAAGCGTAAAGAGATGATTGGTTGGATTGCTCTGGGTCAAAACAGTAGTGGAGAGGAGGAACAAGACCATTGGGAGGAAATGAAGGAGACCAAAGGCCAGCAGGTCTGCAGATGGCACACCTTGCTCGAATCCTAGGTTTGCCCACAGGTGTCTCTATGCTACACCCCCCTTGGTGAGCCTAGTGGTTGACCTCTAACACCAACTCAGTGTATGCTGGCAGGCTCTTTAAAGACAGGCTTTCAAATAGGGATTGGATTCCACTAACCACTAGAACATTCTGAGTGGGGGGTAGGGGTGCTGTGAGGAGAGGAGATCTTTGGTTTTCTCAAGGTTTGAATTGGATTTAAGTATTGTGATTTTTTAAAAAATTCTACATATACAGTCAACTATGTGGAAAATGTTACCATAGTTGCAAGCAGTGATGATGAGTTAATTTGTGCTAATAGGTTATTGAGGTGGTTCAGGCTGTGGGATGAAGCTTCTCTTGCTCTCTCTTCTGTTTGCTCGAACAGTAACCTCAGATTGCAAGGGAGCTGTTAAATGTTATTGTTTGTAACCACTTATGCGTATAAATCAGAATTGTCTTAATATGGTGCAAAACACTCCAAAATACAGAAATGAGTCAGACACTCAAAGAAGAATGTAACTGTCACCCATAGTCTCCTATTTCACATTTTTTCTCTTTTTCAAAACCCCCCTCACTTATTTACCTAACAAACAAATGTCATAAACGTGCACTTATAAAAGAAATTTGTATTAACTAAATACCTCTTTCTATTGAATATATTGTTATTTCCTATGAGGTTTGGTTAGCTAAATCATTTTGAAGCTAAAAAATAGTTCAAAAACGACTGTTGAAAGACCACTTGTCTCCTTTGAATATATTTCAGACTTGTAACTTCCAAGGTTTTTATGCTCTTTTTCTCACCTAATAAATTCTTGCAGAACGAGAAGAAAACCAAAACTACCTAGTTAAGTCATGGATTTATTGATTTTTCTGAATCTAGTGTTTTCCTTTTACATTATACTTTTTTCTATATGCAACGACATATTCAGACATATATTTTGAATGTACACCTGCATGTGAACCATACTTCTTATGCAATATTTTCCATCGGTAGAGCATAGTAAATTGTAAACAGTGGGTCTTTAATAGTGTCGATTCGACGGACTCTTAGAAATGAATGTGTTAAAATACCGGTGAGTGGAGAAATATTTCCAGCTTGTGTGGAATGACACTAAATCTTTCTTGCAGCATTTGATGTGCCTATAATTGTCATATTTCATGGCATTTGCAGCAACATGTGATAGTCACTGCCTGCCTCTGGGCACATGCCATTTGGAACAGTGATGTTGTGTGGTTATGAGCATGAAATTTTACTTCCAACTGACTTTTACATATCTGTGCAGTGCATGTTTATTTCATTTTTTCTTAGATCTGAGCCCTTAATTTCAATTACTTTAAATCGGCTGTCACAGAAAAAGGGAAGGAATGTGTGCACATGTCACACTGCGCTCATGTGCAGCTCTTCCGAGCAATTGCCCAGGCATTTATTTTTAGCTTTTGTGTTTGGCTGTTGACTTCTTGCTGTCTGTGGGAAGAGCGATAGCTAGTGATGGATGTATACAGTTAAAAACACATAACTCCTTCTCAGCTCTACATTTGGACAGATTGTAAACGTAGGCTGTAACACTGGAAGAACATATTTATTCCTTACAGCCTGTGATGGTTATCCCGACAAGACCAGCCTAGGGCAGAGGATAACCCTACCGTGCTTTCCCGTTCCAACGTTGGAAAGAAGTGCTTTCGTGTAGAATAATCAGAATAAGCAAAATAAATTAATATCTTCATTTCTTTTCAGGTCACGGGAGTTTCACATGTCATGCCTTTCAGTTACTAAGTAATAAAACCGTGCCCTTCTGGGTTTTTACCCCCCGTCTTCCTTGGGAAGACCTCAAAGTGCTTTTCCAACGTTATATCCATTAACTGCTGAGTGGTCTTTGCAGTGTGGCTGTGTCATCGAGCAGAACTGAGTGCAATTGATTAAGTAGTGGCACGAAGAATTGGCTTTTCACATCCCTTACTCTCTTTATGTGCTTGTGTTTAAAGGGAAGTAGAGCAGCCTTGTTATGCCTGCCTTTATGCAGTCACATAAAAGCAGCATTCACTTTATAATTTACATTTGAAAAAATCTGCATATATTGGACAGACAGTCCTGGATCCCCCCCCCCCTCATATTTTCCTGCCTTATGTTTCGCTGCATCCGTCTGCTCACGGTGACCAGGAATCACCTCCACTTCCTTGTCTGCTGCCTGTACCCACCCCTTTGTAAGGGTTTCTGCTGGTGTAGTGAGGGTATCTGTGTGTGTGATCTGCTTCCCAGTGGTCTGCCCAGGACATACAGTTGCAGGAATGTGCAGCATCTGAAGGGAAGAGATGCCTGAAAAGCACTTTTAGTGTTTATAATTTTACAATGTTGGTGCTACTCACCGTGTGGGATGTATGCACGCCTTTAATAGGCAGCAGCATCCACCCTAACGCTGATGCACACATATAAAATGCTAATGACAAGACACATGAAAATCTGAGGCTGGATTTTTTTTTTACATTGATTTGAAATTCTGGTTTACTAAGATCTTTCGATTTTGTGCACTTAAACTCCCTGGTTTTCTTGGCAGTCTAGACATGATGTATTTCACATGTTTTTCACTTGAGCTTTTACATCTACATTTGCTTTTCAAAGGAGTTAGGAGAGATAATTAGTTGGTTCTGAAGTAAAAAAGCTGCTCTTACATATCTAGCTCATAATTAATATCTCACAGGGACATTGCAATTGAGGAAGCACCAGTATTTGTTGCATGAGTTGTTCTCGCCATGATTTTTCCTGAAGAGGTGCTTTGTAAATAAGATTGTTGAGAGAGCTGCATGCACTGGGTTTATGGAAATTGGCCCTCTAGTGTGCCTTCTTGCGGGGCATGAGTTCATACTGAATTGTGAAGTGCTGGTTTGGCCCATCACGGTGGCTGCTCTTGCGCTCCCTGCTACCCTCTGACTACTGTTGGGTTTGTAAATGGGCCATTCACCAGGCAGCTGAGCACCTGCTCTCTCACTACTGACCCCTTCACTGAGTCCCAGTGTGATGCTCAGTTGTTTGGGACCGTCTTTGCTGATGTTGCATAACTGTGAGGGAGGCCTTGCCTCCCTAACAGAAGTACTTGTAATGCCGTTAGATGTATTACACTCAGCATTCTCCCTGTACAAAGTTTGAGAAAGAATCCTCTCCACGATTTCAAGGGGAAAAGAGAGTATGGTAGCGCACTGTCACTCGTTCACTCTGCTCCTCCTTCAAAGACAATAATTGACCTCAAGCGTTGAGTTCCTCTGTAGTGCTAGGTGCTTCAGGCAGCGTGCGCAATATTTTACAACTTGTTGATGCCTCTGGGGCAGTAACTGTGCTGAACATCCTGGCTGCACTAGACCGTCTTATCTGAGAATCAAAACTCTTTTCTTTTCAAGTGAAGCGTTATTTAAGCTGAAATTACTATCAGGTTACGTGAAAGAGCTTCTCTGCTAGCCAGTGAATTGATTAAATTATGGTTCATTGTGGACTTTGACTTGTGGATTTCCCCTAAGCCTGGCTATCCTTTTGCAACAGAGGACTTAGTACATTAAGATCAGATAACTGAGGAGGAAATGATTACTTGTAGATGACCTAACACCAAATGAAGGCATATTATTTAATAATAAGGAAATGACAACAAAGCTCATGGGGCATCATTTCCACTTAACTTTGAGGAAACTGTGACTAAAGAACATACGTTCCACTCTGATTCACAACACAAGTAACTGATAGATAATCCTGAAGTGGCAAAAGTATTTTGCCCTGAAAAAGTCATTATTTTATTCCAAAGAAAAAAAGCTATGCAAGCCATAAAAAACCAAACAATCCTATATCATATGCATGGAAGAATGAAAGAATTAATAAGTTGGAGAACTTCAGTGTCTACCAGCATAGAGTCAAGAAGAGTAAACTAAGAATCCATAAGACATTTCAGGCTAACTAGCTACCATTTTTTTTCACATCTTGCAGAATTCTGGAAAACAAAGTTGAGGGAAATGAGGCTGGTCTAACACAACCCAGAGGAGTTGGCACAGGCTGTGGTCTTAGCCTGGGCTTGGGTGGAGCTCTGCTAACTGCGTAGCCTTCTGAAAATTACTTATCCAGCCTGTGTCCCTCTTTCTTCGACTGGAAAATGGAAATAATATCTACCTCATAAAGTTTTGAAAAAGACATTAAAGAATTAACCACACAGTCTGGCGTATAGTAAGCATTCCATATTCCCCCTCGCAATCATGCTTTAAAAAGAAAAAAAAAGCATTTAAGATTTGTTTCTATTTCTAGTGAAAGTAATGGTAACATGAGAGGAAAACTAAAAATGTCCAGATACTTTTAAAAGGATAGGCTCATGGAGCTAGTCTGAATTTGTAAAGAAAGGAAGTCCTACTGGGGCAACCTTAGAAGCGATAGCCTGTGTATGGAGGATTTGAGCCTTAATAAATCCCCTATGAGGTGTAATAACAAAATCTTTGTTTTTTTGCCCCCCCCTTGGTCTCAAGGAGATGCAAAATCTTAGTGCTTGTATGCACATCTTAATAAATCACACACAAGGCCCCTCCTTGTCCCCAGCTCTTCTCTATTGGACCTGGACAGAGCATCTTGTCACCATCAAAAGAATTGGTGAAGAGGGCAATTCGCAGACATGTTTCAACTTTGATCTGAAAAACTAAAATAAGTGGTGTGGCACTATACTGACACCCTTCTCAAAACAGGTAACACTCACTTTTTTTTTTTTTTGGCCGATATTATACATCCATACTATTTCCGTATAGGCAAAATTTTTAAATGATATAATAATGCAGCTATCAAAACTCACTGAACTGGTTAGACTGGAAAATTCTATTCAGGACCAATTATTTATCACTGTTTCCCTTAAGAGATTTAATGAAATGAATTTTATTAGAGTTGATACTTCTTTTTGAAACGTTTTAAGAGTGACTTACTGATAGAACAGAAAGTATGTTCAGTTGTGATCAAGTGTTCAAACTTTGAGTAAAGAGGCGAGTTTCCTGAGGATTTAGAAAAAGCTTTGTGGACCTTTGATCTAAATAAGTGGTCAGTAATGAATCTCCTCAAATTTAGCATAACCAGGCGCCATGAGCCTGTCATGGTATACTTGTGGGATGGGGACGTGTAAGGCTATATTCCCAATATTGCCAAACTGCCAACATGCTGGTGCAAGTTCTGGGCTTCCCAATTCAGGTGAAATATGAAGAAGGGGTTTTAGTTGGGAATAACTCAGCATGTAGGGAAGTTAAAGGGGTTGGTGGGGAGTTGAGAAGACTTTAGAGTGATTTCTAGTAACAGCTATCCAGGACATGAGTTCTTGCCATGAGGACAATGCACTCCTTCTTTTCTTGACCAACTGGGCAGAGTCAGAGATTCCCCCTGAATCAAGGTGGAGAGAGTTCAACTAAGATATAAGGAGAATTATATGAAGGTTGTTTTGAATTAACTAAAAATGTATTAATTGGATTTTCTTGTGTCTAGCACCATGCTCTTTGGGATAGCTCAGAACTTAACATCTTTTTTTTGGGCTGTGACAACACATGGAAGCATTAGTCATCATAATAACACTAGCAGTGCTTGCCAACATATAATTGTTCAATTAGTCTAATCATGTGCCATAAAAAGTAGACTTCCCTGTTATGGGTTATTAGAAAGAAATAAAATATATTGACTGTATTTACTGGAGAAAACATCTAGGAATCCCGAGACTTGAAGTATTCCTTGGTCATGTTGGAAGGGGAATCACCAAGGAGATCACAGACTCATCATCTTTGGAAGTTTTTAAAAATAGAAACATCTGCATGAGTTGTGGGTTCTGTCTACAGGAGAACGGAGG